GATAGATTGATTGATCGATTGATTGATCGATTGATTGATTGATATGGATAAGGTGTTATAGAGATATTGTACTACGTGTTAATGATCAAGTGCTATAGCGCTCTATACGCTTATTTCTATTGAATGTTATGACGGAATTCCCGAAAGTTGAAACATGGAGCAGGGATGATTCGTGCCAGGATTCCCTCTCCACTACCCTAAGCCCTAAACCCTAAACCCTAAACCCTAACTAAACCCTAAACCCTATGAGGAGGTCTTTGGTCCAACCTTGGGGCGTCTGCCTCAGGGTTGCAAGATTTACGGCAGGGGAGATCTCAGGGAGATCTCAGGGATATGTCTCGGCTTTTATTGGAGGCCTTTTACGTAAAGCAATGTAGTGGCCTTAGCAATTAGAACGAGGTTTTGGGGCATAATATGCTGTACTCATAATAAGGAACCCCCAAACTAGTATATACTGGTAATTATTATGGAGTCCCAAGCCTCAGGAACCCCAAGCTTTCGTGCATGAGGGTTTTTCTTGCGAAATTCGTAGAATCGGAGCTGCTGGGATGAGCTTTTGGGTAATGGGAGACGGGGAAGGGTAGGATTGAGGTTTAGGGTTTAGGGTTAAGGGTTTGGGGTTTCGGGTTTAGGGTTTAGGGTTTCGGGTTTAGGGTTTAGGGCTTCGGATTTAGGATTTAGGGTTTAGGCTTTAGGGCTTCGGGCTCAGAGTTATCAGGCTTCGGAGTTCACGGAGTAGCCTTAAGAGTATGAAGGTTTCAGGGTTCAGGGCTACAAAGGTTTAGGGTTTAGGGTTTAGGGTTGCTCAGGACTTAGGAAGGACTGGACCATCGGTTCATCATAAAGGATTGTTTAGTACTACCTAGCCCAACTGCTACGCTGCAGGGCTGTACAGCTGCATGAATTTTGTCTTGTGGCTACCGTACTGTCTGATGGTAAGCAAAGCAATAGGTATATAAAATTCGAAAGTGCAGAGGTGCCACTATAGGGGCCTTCATAATTAGAATAGGGTTTTGGGGCCCATGATACTATATAAATAATAAGGAATCCCCAAAATAGGATAAGTCATTATTTAGGCCCCTATATTAAACCCCCTAAACCCTAAACCCCAAACCCCCAAAACTCTAAACCCAAAAACCCTAAACCCCTAAACCCTATATTACAGTCACCGTTTCGGGGTCCGAGAGACTCTGCAAGGCTGGGGAAAGTCTCCTAAGCCCTACCTGTAGCCGGAAAGATCGGGTTTTGGGGGGCTCCTTTAAAGGGGTCCTTAAAGGCTTCTATGAGGGCTACTATAAGGGTTTAGGTTTGAGGGGCCTTCAGAATTAGAATAGGGTTTTGCGGGCTGCGAGTGGTGATTCTAACATCAAGTACCCCCCCAAACCCTATTCTAACGAACCCTTTTAGAGGAGGCCCCAAAAACCTAAACCCCTATAGGAGCCCTGATAGAACCCCTTGAGGAACCCTTTAAAGCAGCCCCCAAAAACACCGTTCTAATTGTTAAAGCCCCTACATTAGCCCAGCCTGGGGGAAGCCGGCCGGCAAAGCTTTGGGGCTCGGCAGAGGTACCTCAGACTTCCACTTGCGGCGGTTGGGCGCTAAGTCGGTCGAGGGCTTATGGCATTTAGGGTTTAGGGT